GGGGGGGGGGGGGGGGGGGGGGGGAGAGAGGGAGAGGGAGCCTTGGTTGGGGATGAGGGTTGGCCTGGGAGTGTATCAGGGGTTTGGATTAGATGCTGGGATGGGTGGTACCCTGGCCAAAGGCTGGGACATCTCAGAGGCCAAGTGTGGGACCAAGGATGGTTTTCCCTATTTGGGATGGTGGTGGGGTCTGGTTTGGGGTCTACAGAGACTAGGATGAAGGCCAGGAAACAGTCAGGTCCCTTGTGGGGTCTGGTTTTAAGCAGAAGCTAGATTTCCAGGGAGGTGACTCAGGGAGGGCCCTGTGTGGGGCGGGGCCCAAGGAGGAGCCTATGTTGAAGGCAGTGTCTCAGGACCTGGGGACTTGGCTAAAGCATGGGGACACGGAGGGACAGGTGGAGTATCTCAGGAGCTAGGAGTAGCCAAAGCTGGAGGTGATGCTCAGAAGAAGGTAGTGTGTCTCAGGGGTAGATGCGGCCAAGGATGGTTGTGGCCTGGGGTAGAGTTCATTCTGAGGGTAGCCGGTCTCGGAGGCTGGGGAAGTGGCCAAGACTAGGAATCAACCAGGTTTGAGGGCTGTGAGCCTCAAAGCCTGGGGGCGGGGTCTGAGGCGGGGCCTAGAGTGGGGAGGGGAGTAGGCGGGGCAGAAGGCGCTCACCTGAGCCGAAGGGTGGGCAGAGCTGGCAGCCCCGACCCCAGGCTTTGCCCACACGGCTACAGCAGCAGATCTGTTTGGTGATGTTGCGCAGAATGGGCAGCGAGCAGCCGCCGTCGCGGAGCACGCGGAAGCAGGGCCCCTTGGCCTCTGAGATCACGTGTTGGGCTGGGGGAGGGGGAGGAACATTTCAGAGAGGGTTTGGGAGGGCAGGGGATCTGCGAGGTGGGGTATCCAGGGAGGGTTTGGTGGATTCGAGGGACTTTCAGGAGAGGTCTGAGAGGGCCTGAGGCAGAATGAGGGGTCTCGAGGCCTGAAAAGGCTTGGGGCCTGAGGAGAGTCTGAGGGGTGAATGAGACCATCCGGACGGATCTCGGGGTCAGAAGAAGTCCTGGTGAGGGAAGGTGAAGGATTTGGGGGCCGGGAGGAGCTGAAGGAAGGCTGGGGATCTGGAGACAAAAGGGGTTCTTAGAAATGGCCGAAGAAGGTCCAGAAAGTCCGAGGCGGATCTAATGAGAGACCTGGGAGTCTCGGAGGGTCTGGGGGTGTTTAAGGAAATTAAGGGTCCAGGGATGTGCTGGGATAGGCCTGAGGGCACAGCGGGACGTGGGACCCAGCCTCGGGCCCTCTCGGTGGCTCACAGATGCAGCTGCTGCGGGATGAGTCCAGCAGGAAGCCGTCCGGGCACACGCACGTGTACCCCCCGTGAGTGTTGGCACACTCCCCGTGCTGGCAGCGCCCGCCAGTCGCGCACTCATCCACATCTGCGGGGAGGGACGCAGTGGTCCTAGTGGTGTCAGGGACCCCCTCCCGCCCGGCCCGCTTCGCAGGACCCGTTAACCCTTTCGAAGCCAGCTGGACACGGACCACCTGGGGCTCCCACTCGGTTGGAGTTCCCTGTAAAGAGAGGAGAGGGACGTGCCCAGGGCGAGAGGATGGAGAAAGGAGTGGGCGGGGACGAAAGTGGGGTGGAAGGGACTAAAGGGTGTAGGGTGTCGTTTGAGTTCCGGTGGGCGCTCAGTTGGCGGTCCGACCGAAGATAATGTGGGAGGTTTCAGACTGCATGGCTGGGGCCACGGGACAAAGCCAGGCTGAGAGCAGAGTAGCCAATGTCCAAGGTGGCGTAGGCGGTCCCAGAACATACGGATAAGGCCAGACTGGAAGTGACCCCCAGCCAGGCAGGCCTGGCTATTTTGAGGACAGGTTTTGTCGCCGGGCAGAGTGCGAGGGGGTTCTCACCCCTCCCCAGCTCCGAGCACCTCGGGGGCGTCCTGGGGCTTACCCGGGTGCTCCGAGCACGACTGACAGTCGTGAACGCCCCAGGCCACGCCGGCCCCTCCGCAGCAGACAT